ACCTTGGAAAAAAAAGACATGAGAGCAAGTGAGAAGGGATTCTGCAGGTTCATTTATGATGGATCCTGTGTGTAATTTAAGTCACACACTTCATACTCCTTGATTTTCAATGTCTTTCCCAGCATTAGTCTTTGACTCCTTTAAGACTGTCATAACAATTTGTAGGGTACATAACAGCAAACTTGTTTTATGTATACCATTCATGGCAGAGCAACAGACACCCATTTCCTAATAATCCATCAATACAGGAAGATGGCAAAAAATTTACAATAGTTGTTTGATAAGAAGTGAGGCATGCTGATTTTGAATTAATTTATATACAATTTTCTTATGGTATGTTGAGAGACCATAAAAAGACTGTCTTTTGTTGTGTTGAGAGAGAAGGAAAGATTTCTTATTCATCACAGTGATGAAACTGGTGCCACTTTATCAGGGACAGTCAGGTATTAAATTCACTTTTTTCCCTATCACACTTCAACAACCCAAGCACTTTTTTCTTTAACCAGAGAAGGAACCAAACTACTGCATAGTGATACTTGAAATGTAGTAGAAGTTACTGCAAGATCTTCCAAAATGGACAAATATTAATAAAACACTTCTGCACATTTACAGTACTAATTGAGCAAAGTCTAGTGTTTCTAAATGCTCTTATAACATCTTCATTTTATTCTGTGTGTACTTAAACTGTTATAATTGAATACAAAGTATTTTTTAACTCTACCTCATGCACACAAGTTTATATATACTCACACGCTTAAAATTCTCAGTCAAGACTTTCTGACACACTTCACATTTTCAGAGAGAATATGCTCCTATAATATATCCTGAAGTAAGGAATATTTCTGACTTATTCCCAACTGCTTTTTGTAGCCAGTCAGGCTGTTTTAAACCTTAATAAGAGCTATTAGAATTTTAAATTTTAAACTTTTAGAATGCTGCATTTTTAAATTTCAGGTAAGGGAACACATCAGAATCATCAGCTGTGTGACTAAAGACAGCTTGTGGATAGAAGACACACTAGAAACTCAGAACACTTGGAAACTTTAATCTTGCATCACCACCTAAGTATCATCATAGTGAGGAGCCACAGATGAAACAAGAGTAGCATGTGTGAATTATTCTGAAAATTACTTTTGCAACATACTCTGTTGGCCCAGGTACCTTGTCCTCCACTACTTTCTCAGTAGTGCTAGTCATGATATTCCTTTTGCTTACTTTCTTTTCTCCCCACCCCCCCTCAGTAAAACTTATCACCAATAATTCTTTCTCTCATTAATTTGATATTTTGCCATCCTCCTCTTAAATACCCATAAGCAAGACAAATCCAGTCCAAATAAAGCCACATACTAGTTATCAGATCATTTACTTCAATGTTTTATGGCTTTTCTTCATTGGTTTCCATCTCTAATGTAGGGCTTGAGACACGGAATACTGCTTTAGGAGCTCACATGGTGGGATTTTCAATCGTGTTTTGAAACCTATGGTACTACAGGAATATCAGCATTAAATGAAAATTAACCAGTAATAAAAACCCCTCAAAATCTCAATTATAATCAGATCATAAAAGAATCCCTGTATGCCACCAGGTGCTCTAGTTAAGAGGCTCTTCAATCAAGGAAGCACAATCTTTATTTTGCCATAGCTGCCTATAAATCCAAAAGGGAGATGTAAACATACATACACTAGACTAAACAATGGCTAAATAGCAGCCACTATTCACTCTCCCACTCACACATACCATGCAAGTCTGTGGGAAAAACTTACGATTGAAACTAAGGAACTCAAGTAAAGTTTTCTGAAAATAACCCAGAGCTGACAAGTCAGTAGGAGGGCCTGGATGGTTTCAAGACACAGTTTTTAAGCAAGACTTGGACCCCCAACTATTTTTTTTTGTGTGCCTTTTTTTTTTTAAACAAAGATTTACATCCCATCCTTGGCTAAATTACTTATAAATTTATCAAGTTAATTACTCAGTGCATAAGCAAGACACTGGACAAGACAAAGTGAATGTCAGCCAGCTAATATGGTCTATATTGTTTTAAACAAATGCACCAGTGCTGGATTGAAGAGATCCGTAGGGCACAAACACATTAGAAGAATTAAAAAATATTTCCCCCAGAACACTGAACAATGTATGCATGTACATTACGAGATTTTGGTTGTCTAGATTATAACAGATATTATCAACTGCTGAAAATGATATTTCTGCCAGCTTTGATCTTTGTTTTGATACATTGTTTCTTGCACTCAGACAGGTACTAAATTTAGCATGTAAGATCTCTTTAAACATGTATGTAATTTTGTGTAAATGGTTTGATTGCTCTAAGAAATTAAGGTCACATACATAAAAACTATGGAAGTCTCATTTGTTTAGCATTGAGATCTTCCAGTCAAACTCTGAAAGACAGCTTTTGAAATCTCTGGAAATTATAAAATCTACCGGGGTGCATAGATACATAGCTACCTTTTTGACATTTTTGTCTTCCTAAAGCTGAACAAGGGTATAATAAATGAAGTATTAACACAGACTCACACTGAGTAACAAAGAAGGAAGAAAAGTAAGCAGGGTGAAGTCTACTCTCACTGATCTTTATAAAGTTTAAATTCAGCTAACTTCTGTATTTAGTTAAGCACAGGTAAGCATGATGTATACGTGTCCTCATGTACTTAACATCTTTTTTGGTTACCACTGGCACTGTGTTTAGCATTCAAAATCCTAGACATGGAGAAGTTTAGAGCATTTTCTATTAACAGTCCCACACTTTCCTAAGTTATGTACTGCATATCTCATATTCTGCAAAATATAAAACCGCCACAGATGTGTGCTAAGAACTAGTTCCAAAGTAAAAGGAAACTTTTTAATTAAGGAAACATTGACTTTTATGGTTGCAATCAGAAGAGCATTTTACTAAATGCTTAGCCTGTAGATTATGCTTCTTTAATTCATAAATTGACTGTACTAGGTCACTTTTGAGTAATGGAAATCTCTGTTTAAACATTTTTTTGGCAATGGGCACAAAGCACTAGATCTCATTTCCAAGACTTACCAGCTGGGTTTTGTCATTAACATTTATTAACAATCTAAGATATGGCTTTCAGCGTCTAATCCTCACTACACAAATGTTTTGTATAGTTCTCTAGAGAGCTTTGGTGTGACAAATTACTGGCACAGATTACAGCCCTGTGGCTATTCACCAGAGGCAATGCAAAATTAACATGGTACTAATCCAATTTAAACAATAAATTGGTCAGACTATGCACAATTGCACAAATCATCTGAACTAAAGCAAATCTAGAATTCCTGAAGTAACAGTTTCCAAATTTATATTTAAAACACAGTAAATGGTTTTTGATCAGCTCTGCTTCAGCTTTTATTTGGCTCTTTAAAGTCACTTAAATCCTTTATCAATAGACTATAAAATGAAGCACAGGAGTATAAAAAACACAAGAAACTACTTCGAAAGGGTTTGTTCTGTATTAGAAAAGTTTTAGGTGCATAATTCACTGCACATGCCAACTTATTTTATGATTCAGACTTTCAGCAAGAGGGTCAGCTGAAACCATCTACATATGTTACTGAATTCAGATCATCAGGTCTACGGTGATGAAATTTGTAATAAAAACCTGATAGTGATATACACTAGTGTTAAATCTGGCAAGCAACAAGTTTCTCTTCTATTCTACAAGGTTTTTTGAATATGGCAGTAAGGAAAAATAGCCTGGACATTTCATGGCTGCTGAACAAATCTTACGAGAGGTAAGATTTATATTCTTCCTTCCATCATCTTATCAAGCATAAGAAAGTTTCAGAAATTGGAGAAGAGAATTTATGACTCCTTTTATCATTAGGCAAAGAACGACCACGAAGACGACAGCAAATAAAGATGAGTTTTTATTTATTAATAGTGATTATACAGCACATTCACTCTCTTCAAAGAGAAATACAGATTTAAAAAAGTAATTAGGAAAGGGTAGGCTGAGCTTCTTACTCTCAAAAAACAGAATACTCCTGCATAGGAGTGAAGTAGGAACTATAGTCCTTAAAAAAAAGGATCATTTTTCCTCAAGCAGGAAGTAGGTGTGAATACAGACAATCAAAACCTTTTAGTAAATTTGGACTCTGAAGCTTTACGTCTGTGTCAAGGTTTGTTCAGCATCAGGAATTAATGACTTATTAATTTGTTTCTCAAGGCCAATGGAAATGCTTGCCATTAAGTATACTGTTAGCTAATGTTTACTGTAATTCATGAAAGACAGGTGATGACAAATAACACATAAAGGCATATGGATTCAGTGAGGATGAAGCTGCTACTTCTGGAAGTTTGAACAGAGTATTTTCAAGTCATGAAATATGAATACATATATATGTGTATACATATTCTCATATATATGTATATACATTCTCATATATATATACACACACATGCACAAACAAGAGCTCTGTTAAAACACAGCAGTAAAAAAACATGCCATATTAGTATCAGGTTAGGATTTCTAGAAGCAGGATAAAGGAGTTTCACTTCCAGCTTAAATCTTCTGCACGTTTGTTTCCTTTTACAACATTCAGCAAACCTTACACCACTGTTTCTAAAAGTCAAGACTTGTTTCTCCTTTTTACCCTTCATTCCTTTTACAATTAAAGTATTGAATAGTTAGGACTGTAACTGACTAAGATGGTTGGGATGGGAACAAAATATTTTCTCTGCAAGTGCTGACTGAGCATTATTAGGAATGAGATTAATATAGTTTTTCTTTTTTGAATCATGCCTGCTTTTAGCTATGCTCACCTTCTTTGCAGACCTGAGCCTTCATCTTTTCTGAGTTCCATGTCAAACTTAAATGTTTTACACTGTCATTTTTGTAACAAGCATAGCTCAGAGCTTTAACTCTGCTAAGACAAACACTAATAAAATAACTGCCAGTAGTTAACAGTAATTATAAGTAGCTTCCAATAATACATTAACTTGGTTGTCTCATACGAAAAAAGGAAACCTGCATACCTGTTTTAACCTTGCAAGTTCTTTCAAAGCCCTTGTCCATTGTTGTTTGTAGTGGAGCTTTGACTTGGTAGCTGACTCTAACTTTCTTTCAAGTTCAACCTAAAAGCAATTAAAATCATATCAGCTGAAGCAATAACAGCAGTAACAATCACTGAAAGATGTATATATACAAAGGGTCTGGTTTAAGAAAAGTGTTTATGTAGTGTAACATACAACATCATCTAAAGCTGTTATATTATATAACATAAATATTATGGCACATGAACATTTTCTTGTTTAAAATATAGTCTTACTTTTATTGGATAGCTGTCTATACAAAAAGGAAAAGATTAGTTTTTAGCACTAAATCTGCTGACGTAATCTTTAAATTTAAGATTCTCAAATCAGCAACCTTCTCTGTCCCCCTTTTTTTTCCTTTTTTCAAAGTAAGATTATAAACATTAATTTAACAGAAACACTGATGGATAAATTTTTCCTTTAAAAGGTATGTAGATTTTTTTTCTTCCCTGCAGCTGATGGAAGATATGTACTACATTCTTTTCTCCAAAAGAGACATCTGTTCAAACCATTCTTTAAAATCTGTGTATCTACAGTGAATGTTTCATCTTAGTATCTAAATAAATATTTTTTGAAATGCTATACACTAAAAAAATTCATTGCATTCTGTACAAAAAGTTAGTATAAAAAGGCAAATGGAAACAATTATGAAGCACACAGAACACAGTAACCTAAAAATTGAAGTATTTAATTAACTGAGGCAGTGATATTTTATTTTAATCAGACAAAAATTATTTACCATTAAATTTGTGAATATCTTAAAGCATTGATTTTTTAAATAAAACTAACAAAAATAGAAAATCTAAAAAAATTAAGGTAAGAGTTTAGAAAGTATGTAGAGACAGAAACATTTTGAATCATTTGCTTGCATTATTACAAGTTATTCAACATACAGTAACATACAGACCAGCCATATAACTGTAAGTGCATTTTGTGCCAAGAAGCCTGGTCCAATTTTCTCCAGGTTATTTGGTCAATTTGACTCAAACCTCACAATAATTCTGAGCATAAAATGCCCATATCTGTGGTTTTAATTAAGCAAAATATCCTCTACTGAAAGCATGGTTTCTAAGAAATCAATTTGTTACAGTGATTCTATTCCACTGGTAAGTAACACAGTATCTTTTCAGAAACACTTAAAACAATGCACATAATGGAATACCAATCTAAATTAATCATCACAAAAACTTTGTATTTATTTAGCTTTATAAACAGAAAGCTCAGGGTCCCCAGCATAAATCACAATGGTAGTAATTTAAATATATGTTACTTCTTTCCTGCCTTAGCCTCTAACACTACTGCTTCCTCTACAGAAATAAGGCCTTATTTATGTCTGAATATTTGAAGTTTGAAGGAATTGTTGGAAAAAGTGAAACAAAAAGGACAAATTAAGCAGTTTATCATGCAAGATTAGTTTACATCTCCCTTACCAGTGAATGGACCATTGTGACAGTTTTTAAAGACCAGAAAAATCCAAGATACCTTTTCTAAAGTGAGAAGATTTATTTCCGATTGTAACTGGATTTCTGGTTTGCTACTTTGCTGTTCTTTGTATTGCTGGAACTCCTTCTCCAAAATTTTATGCTTATTATCTGCTTCATAAAGCTACATTAAAGATATCAAGATATAATGAAAGTTAGCAGAAAAACCTATTCACAGACAAAGAATTAGGTTACAGAACTTAAGTTACTCCTTAGTCCCTGGAACAAACATCGTACTGTCAATTATCTGATATAAAACAGACACTGAAAGCTACACATTCATAAATAATGATTTCTTGATGATGGCATACAGCAGTGTTATAATAGGAAGAGTTTTAAAGAGGATCTTTGCTCAGTACTGGAAAGAAAAAACCATGTCCTATCCTCATGTACAGAAGATCAAGATTTATAAACATTGCTGTTCACATTTCTAAAACAACTGGCAGAGGAAACACAGAAAACAAAACAATTTAGATTTACACACATATTTTAAAGGAAGCCAACAGTGTTATCTACTACATGAAGTTTTATTACTTACTCAATTTCACCAGCATAACTTGTTTAGGAATGTCTGGAAGAGGAAACAGCTAATACTTTGTACAGCCAAATAATGATTTAGAAGAAAGGCTGAAGTAGGACGACTTCAGTGACTAATGACTTAATGCTATGTGCCTCTGCCCTCACTGCGTACTTCCAGAGTTTCATTAAGATATTATTAAGAGACAGCTTTGTTTTTCATCTTAGAATGGGCAATCTGAAAAACTGTGCCAATTTATTTACAGCAAAGTAATTGTGCATTAAGTGTTTAATAGCTTTTTTTCATTATACCATATAAAAAATTCTTAATATTTTTAGTAAGATGTTTTCTAAGAATAGCTTATGTTATTCTTCTGTTAATTATTCAACTATAAATACCTTAGTACACCTGATGGAACTGATGCATTCTATTACACAATATAAATACAAATGCAGCATTTGGTATCACGTCCAGCTAGCTGATCTAAGTATTTCCATGAATTGTATCCAACAGTTTAGAATACTGGGTGAAAATGCTTCAGAGAATTCATTTCTGTTTCAAAGCCTACAGCTTCTATTAGTACATCAATATTTTAATTCTTTGGATCTCCTAATTGGGTCACTTCTATTTTTCTTCCAAAACTTCAACTTTTTGTATCTATTATTTTTACAGAATTGATGTAAGAAAGTAAAGATGCTTCCTAAGGAGCCATAAAAAAAATGTAGTTCACTGCAGTGAACTTTTCACACATAACTGCAATAGCCAACTTCACCAAAAGATACTACTGTTCATCACCTTTCCATGTTTACTGATTTCTTTTTAAAAGCAGACATAAAGACATGATACTGATGACAAAGACAGTAACTAATTTCTTTGGCTATGAAAAATGCCAGCTCTCACTAGAACTTCTACAGTAATGTGGGGTTTATTTGTTTATTTGGTTCAGAAAACACTTTCAAAAATTCGACTTCTCATGAGACCTTGGCTTGTGGACTGTTAGGGACTCACACAAACTGTACAAATAAAGTACAGCTTCCTTATTCAGGAAGGAAGAGTGATATTCTTCAAGGTGGATGCTTCAAGAATCTTCTCTTGCACATAGTGGGGCTTACCTCCAAACAATTAGACATTTAGAGAACTCTGCAATTCAAATGTGAAAACTGTGTATTGACACATATCCTTAAAAGGTAAGGAATAAGTCAAAGCATATTGTTTGGAACTATTGTAATTTAATCCACAACATTCCTTGTTAAAAAAAACACACCAAATACACATGAACAAAAAACACACACTCAAAAAGGTGAAAAATAGAAGCCCATCAAAATTGTTAGCAACAGGAACTTTCTGCTTGTGCACATTAAAAGGGAAACATCCTACAGTAAGACTCCAAAACAAACTCAAACCCACCCCAGCAAAGCAAAACAAAAAGGTTTGTCTTGTGCAGAGTATGTGGTAACCACCACCTCATATTGAAGTATGAGAGATTCCTAACAGCAGGAACAGCACAGAGAAAGACAGCCAGGATCATCAGCTGGAAGGAATGGCCTTTGTACAAAGCAAGACAAAACATACCAGGACTTATGTTTGGAAGAGAGACAGTATGATTGCTTAGGTGGCTATCAGGAATGGTATGTAGCACAGGCACTGAAGGATTCTTAATAATTATTAAGCAACAAGCTTGAAGTGAACAAGAAGTTTAAATATGCAACACAATTAAATTTTAGAACTCACTGCCACAGGATGTTGCAGTGCTAAAAATAGAAATGCTTTTTAAAAGGGAGCAGATGAGTTCATAAAGAATACTTTCACTGATGGCTAGTAAATATGAAATGCTGCCTCTGGCTGAGGGTACAGGTAACTCTTGATGGTATTGCTGGACACACTGAAGTTATTCTCTCTCATTGTCCCATTTCTTATTAGAATTCTGAATTAACTGATTCTTTAGCTTGGTACAGTATGTCTGCTTTGCCTAGGAAAAATAAAGGGATTGTGATGGTATAAAAAAAAGTAGTCTAAAAAAAGCTAAAAAAAAAAGTCAGTGGAAGTCAAAAAAAGAATTTTGAAGATGACTCCTAGGTGGTGGCATTTGGCTGCTTTAGCCTGAAGAACTATTGGCTATCTTGTCTAGACTGATACAGCATTGGTAGCTACCAGCAACACATCTACGATGCAGAAGGGATCCACTTACCACTTCCAAGTGGATTGCATTCTGCAGTTTGAAACTGCTCATCTCAATGCAATGATTGTTCAGTAGAATAGCAAAGATTAGCATCTTCTAGATTAGCACCATTTTTTGTATTAGCTGTATTTCAAAAGTTCACTGTACTGTGGTTAATGTATGCTGACGTAAAAAGAAGCAGGTTAATATCAGTGTTTAATATTAAACCAAAATACTCACAAAAACCAGAACTCCCCCTAATACAAAAATATACCTTTGGCTGATGTAAGTTCTTCAGTTAGTGAAAGCTATTGTGCTTTATCATTGCCATATATCAGAAATGAAAAGCACCAATGCAAGTAATCTATCTACATAAACTAAGTACTTTGAAAAACACGCATTGCTAAGATTTAATCTACCTAACAAATTAAGTGTGTGATATTGTAACTGCTCAGAAAAGCTAGTACCAACTCTTCAAATTTTACAGTATGCTTTAACAGTCAAGAAAAATAGTTAGATTAGTCTCGTTACTGTAAAGCTATCCTACAGGACAAAAGAATGTGGTCTGAGTTTTCTTCGTTTAACGAAACTATTACGTGCAGAATAGAAGATCACAGTATCAAGGTAATCCCCCCACCCCAATAAGGACAATAGAAGTACTCTGTTACAATGGAAGAATAAAACAAACTGCATAGTCAAGCAACCTAGATGTTCTGCTAAATGTTAACTGCTGACAGCACATGAAGTTACTGAAATGTATACTGCTGTTCAGGTTCTATGTGTAACATACGCTTGTAATTCAGGTTTGAATTTCAGTGTTGAAAAAACCCAAGAAAACCCACTGCATTGAAAACTGGCCCTATCACTGCACAAGATGAAAGAGATGGATCCCAGCATGTAGCTCACCAAACAAAGGAGATAAATGTTTATTACCAAGTTGCCAGAATGTGCTTGCCTCAAAATCATCGCTTAACTTAGTACGCTTAGTTTAATAAATACTTACTTAAGTAAATGGTTAAGCCAAAAAATTTAAGTGTACTTACCTGCTGCTGTAAGCGAAGCTTGTCTTCTTCCAGCTGTTTGATTTTTGACCTTTCTAGCTCAACCTGGTGTGCACATTCTTCTCTGGCTCGCCGCACAGAATCCTGTAGCTCCTGCAGATTTCGTTCATGCTCTGCTTGCAACTCCTTCTTTACTCTTTGAAGCTTAAAAGTGACACATATTTACATAAATCCATAGGTGCAAGATCTTCATTTTAAGCATCTTTCTCATAACTGTTACTACTACTCATGACAGAAAAAATCGTTATCAATTTTAGAAGTTAAACAGAAATTCCATTGTTATCTGTACATTTGCTATATACTCTTTTACTTGCTTACAGCTTAACTAATGACTTGCAAATGACTATAGGCTACAAATATACTCTTATTTGACTATTGTAAAAACGGTGCTATCCGAATCTCTATTGTACTTTCTACATGGGAAGGCTAAAGGCAAATTTTACATCCACCTTTCTACTTCTCACTAAAAAACTACATATACACCTTCTCTGCAGAAAGAGTGAAGTCACAGCTACAGCCAAGATGCCTTTAGATCATTACGACTACACCCTTCAAACTGAATATATTGAGAGAATTTCTCATTGAGCTAAACAGGAAAAAAATCCTTGACATGTTTAACCTTCTAGAAAGATGTTACTGGCCTAAATAACAGCTAGCTGAATAGAAACCCATCCAAAAGGTCCATTTCTCGAACTGTGTAATTGCTAAATGAACCCTACATCGTTTTGTCTAGACACTTTTGGAATCCACTGATCTTTATTATCTCTAAACCCTCAGGTCAAAATCTCACTAAATTTAGAGCAAGTTTTGAGACAAACATGTATGAGATTCAAAATAAATATTTTCACTCAGACTGAAATGCATTCAGCCAAACCTAATCACCAGATTTTTTGCATAGCTGTTAAAGGTAAAGTCAGACACTATTTACAGCACAAATGACATCTTGAGGGGTATAGAGAGCCTGAGTACAAAACAGGGATCAGGCTCAGCCAGCCAGTCCCTGTGCTGGGAGCTTTCTTAACCTTGTTCACAAGCACAGGAGGGATTGATATGATAAAAAGATTAATCTGAGCTACAGGAGGAAGAGAAGTTTGTTGGACTGCTATATCACCACAGAAATTTACCTACATATTTGTGAGTTTGTTCTGAAGTACAAAAATAGACAGTTTATTTTCTTTCTTTCTCTTTTCATATGACTAGCCTCCCTGAGGACTCACACCCCATATCATCATCTTGGGGGTGTCCAGTGAGATCTAGGAACAGTGGTAGCTACTGGCTTCTCCCGCATCTTCTTTCGCCCTGTCACTATAAAAAAAGATATGAAACAGGAACTCTATCAAATTGCTGGATACGAAAACCTAGACAGCTGCAGTTTCTCCCAGGTCTCCATGTGACCTTCTCCTATTTCAATGGTTAATCTAGCAGTTACTGTTTGAAGCAAGGCACTCTTGTACACATGTACAATGTTCATGTGACAGTAATAAACTTGAAATTGAGGTCATGTTTTATACATGTCTCCACTGACACTCCAATTCTGTAAGAATAGAAAATTTACAGTTCTAGAATTCGAGTAACCTGTTTAAAAGTTCACTGAATTTCCGTTTCAGTAAAAGTGTAGCTGTAACAGAACTTGATTTAAATTATTAGTGCTCCACTATGTATCAGTATGAATGTGGTTATTTTAGTTCATCTATACAGGTCACCACCATCTCTATATGAAAACTCAAACCTCATAAACAATGCAATTGCATAAGCTATGTGTAAAATGACCAAACACTTGTTACCTCTGATTCAGCACTAAAAAGCTGTCTTTCTCGCTTATCTAGATCTCTCAAGGTTTTCTGAAGTTGTTCTTCCAAAACAGTATATTCTGCTACCTAAAAGAACAGAAGGCATTTTTTCTTGCAATAAAAACAATGTTTTAGGGAGGTAAAGAATTTACTCTTGCTATGATATAAAATATTGACAATTTTTGTGTGTAAATTTACATGTAAAACAAAGCTCCAGCTCTTCATGAAGAGCTCACAGTGGAGAGCCTTTCTTTCCAATACAATAAAGGCTAACAGATTACCATGCACAGCTGGGCTGTAGAAGTGCTTTTTGACCACACAAGTGAAAAGCAACTGAAGTTAAAAGCCCCCAAAGAAAGCAAGCTAACGTAAAGGATTTCTAACAGGTATTCAATGATTAAGGGCTACTTTTATATTTTTTTGCACTGTTGTAGACCAGATGCATGCATACCAGTAGGTGTGAAGACTAATCACAGATTCTTTGTTCTATGTTATAATTACAAAATATCTTGTCAAATCTTATAGTGGTATGATATTTATAATGAGACTTTCAGGAAGTATAAGAACAAGTAGTTTCCTTACCTTTTTCTTCACTAATGCCTCTCTCTCTCTATCTCTTTTCTTCCATTCTTCTGCAAGTGCTTGCATATGGGCCATTTCCTTCTTTTTAAGCTTTTAAAAGCAAGAAAAGGAACCAACACCCCAAACCAGAAAACCAAATCAAAATCATTGGAAGTGCAACCTTAAAGGAGAAAGTACTAGCAGAACTAAGTCTTGAAGGAAAAGAATAAACAATTAAGCTTAGTACACTGACTTATATAACTCAAGGTATGATACTGACGGTGAAAGGTATTTCTTACCCTTAAGTACAAAACGCAAAATAAGCACAAGTTTGAGAAAAATATCCTCACAAATACACACTGGCTTCTCAGTATCTTTTAAAAAGAAACATGCAACTCTAAGAACACCTAGAAAGACCCAGAGTACAAACACAGCAATGAATTTTCACTAAGAAGAAAGAAATGTCGTCTTAATATTTAACACCAACAATTTGAATCTTGAATAGCTACTGTACTTCATAAACAGTAAGGGGAAATTGTAATGGGGGTATTTTGTATTTCACTAGCTAGCACCTATTTCAGTCAGC